GACTTATCATACTATGTTCCGCTACAGGAGCTAGAACCCATTACGAACTACAACTACCACCTTTTGGACAAGTCCGTGGAAAAATGTGGCAAAAATCATCAAAAATTCCAAATATCGGGGGTTGGCTATTCCAAAACGTAGACCGATATATCTCATTTTCAATACCATCCTGGATACAATACAAATTGTTCTAACGAATGTTTAGCTGTACTTCAAATATATTGTGAATATTTAGAGATGTTACAAACGGAATGAAAAAGTTATATACCCTCCTTTTCAAGGTGGAGGGTATACAAATTTAGTACGTTTTTCCCAAGTTCGGGGCAATTTTTTATAGTTTTACTATCTAGTAGCCGTTCTGGGTTGTGGAAAATGCAAAGTGAACTTGATAGTAGTCGTTTTTAGATCAAAACCCTGACAGTGTTTTGGGTTCTTTGGGCAAATGTTGTTAAGACCCTTTATGAAGTAGATACAAAGTGACCTCTATAGTTTGAGACATATTTCGCTATATTTAGGATATAACTCTGAAATTTGATAGAGAACTTTGAATTTCATCTAGAATCATTGGTAGAAAGAATGGGTCATATCGGTCCACTTTTGAGAATAATTGCCTTGCATGGTTAACTTCGATTTCATGTATTGTATTATGTTTCGGTCATGTTTTTTATTTAATTTTCCTAAATTTTGGCATTTTGAATTCTTATTACTTAGAAACGCTATTTAAATATAGGCCTCTGATTTTAGTTATTCGACTGAAGTTATTTAGTTCGACTGAAGTTCTATTAGCAAATCTCTTTCACAACAAAGTTTAGTTTTGGTAGCAATGGATTTTTTTGTCCACGATAACTACATTTAAAGTTGCTGTCTCAACGTTCAAAGACATTAAGCCGCCTTACAAAAGCAGCAAAATAGCAGATGTAGGCATTAATCGCAATAAGCTCAAAATAAATACTACTTTTTAAAGAACGGCCCTTGCAAGCCATTATCCATATCAAATATGCCTTAAGAAATTCTACAGATATAGTTTGGATGGTTTTTGTTCTTAAAAATCCTAGAAATCAACAAGAAATCTTTAAAATATCCACAATTATGGCCTTTATGATACTGATAGGCTTTAAAAATATTTCTTCAAAAATATTCGAATATTTCTTAAAAAATCCACGATCAAGGTCTTACAATTATTGAAGAGTTCTAGTATGGGTTAATATAAAGGATTTTTTCTTTCATGAGAAGGTGTGATTCATGTCGGTCCATTACAAAATAAACCGATTAAGTGAAACTGTCGTGTTCCAATCGATATCTATAAATTTGAATTACAAAATCCTTTCAAATTGGAAACTGTAAATTAATTCTATTAAAATGCAAAATAATTGGTTATCAAAACATAATGGACATTATCAGTGATGCAAACAATGACTGGGCTACCTAACACTGCACTTTAAATGCCGAATGCCCAACAAACTTCACCCTTACCCCATCTCTACCAACTGTCTCTATCTGGGCTCCCCTCCCACCCTTGGTCCAAAACATTTTTGTTGTAAATGGGTAGGTATTTAGGAGAAGCAATAACAAATCTCCAACTATGGTTGCTGACACAAGTAAATCCATGCAGGCCATAGGGTGATACCCTCAGCAAACCACTCCATCTTGCTGCCACGCACAGAGAGCAATAGCAGAGTTTTGCTTATTTCCTAAAAGGGGTAAGTCCTTCCCCTCGCCACCCCCATTTCATAACAGTGTAACACAAGTGAGCGAAATTTGAATAGCTAATTCTGGTATCCTTACAATAATGTTGCTCTTTGCCAATCTATGTCTACGACTCTATGACCAATGAAAACATGAGCAGCAGCACCGAAACCATGGTGACCAGTTAAGTTTGCATTGCCCAACGCCATATTGTCTAAAGTCAGGTGATAGAAAGGTACCTACCTATCCTGGCTTTTGTTGTTTATTGATTTTTACCAGCAAAGGTGAATAACGATGGTCGTCACCACCACCACTGACAGAGGGGGTAGAAAGTGTTTGTTTGGTGGGTGTTATTGTTGACTTGTCCCACTTGCATTCTGGTTTTGTTGTTTTTTTTGTTTTCAATTTGTTGGCCACCATCAAGTAATTTGTTATTGTTGTTATTTTCTAAACATATACAAACATATAACGCAAGAAAAAGCAAACACAATTTTCTCTCGCTCTTACTCTTCTTTACAACTGACAAAAAAGTGAAATTACAGGTTTTCCAAAGACTAAAAAAAACATAATATATTACGCCAACAACAATGCAAGTGAGAAAGGCGGGAATTTTCTGACATAAAACATTCAAAAGTAACTGAATGGGCTGCTGCTCATCGCTCTTGCTCTCATATTTTAAGGTAGAAAATAGTTAATAGGGTTGCCGTTAGTATTTATAATAATTTTGTTCGTTTGTTTAACAGCGATATATATCGTTTGTCCACAGAACCATGCAAATATCTTAATAAGCTGCAAAAGCTTAACCTATAAAAACATAAGACAAGGCTAAAATCCTCTAGGATTTTAGATTTCTTGGTCGCCCGTCGACCTTGAAATGTCCTACATCACTAAGTATAGACATAAAGCTTATGTTGTTATACCATTTGCGATAAAGCTAAACTTTTGTCAAATACCCCTTTAGCAGAACCAGTAAAATAATCTTAAAAAAAAGTAGATTAAGTGAATATTACAAAAAAGTAGATAGATTCATACGCAATTAAAAATACTTTTTGTAGATTTGAAAGCTTTTTTACTAAAAATAGTGACGGAAGATTTCCAAAATTAAGAATTATTTCAAGCTTACAATTTCTGAGCAATATACACAGGTGATAGGAGAGTGGTGAAGGTTCGAATTACTGATATTTCATAAACTATTTTTTTGTGTCGAAAGATAGCAGAAGAATTGTCCTAGGTTTATTTCAAAAAAAAAAGACCTATATTTATACTTCATTCAGCCAATTAAATTTAAATTGTTGTAGATTGTTGTAGATTTTTCCTGAAACGGTAACACTGACACTAACAGCAATGCAGTGAGAAAGTCCAACACTCAACAACAACAAAAGCTTAGAATTATGAATGGCGTCCTAGTATACGTGTATAGGTGTGTGAGTTGTGTCTCAATTACTGTGTTTGTCCAACCAAAAAACAAAGCAAGCCAACCAAAGGGAGTATTACTAATTGTAATAAAAACAACAACATCGACATCATACCCATTTAGAGTAGAGCAGTGGTAACTTTGGGGGTGAACTCTCGCTCTCTCCGTCTCTTTTTGGTGATTTTGTGAGTGTTTGTATATTCTGTGCGTTAGAGAAAATATTTTTCCAACCACACAACACACACATACACACACTCTCATGCAAGTTAACTAATCCCAAAGAGTTCTGGTGGCATTGTTGTTGTTTTTGTTTGTTGGAGAGAATGAATGAGAGTGCAGCCAAGTGGACTGGCTGCCTGTGTGTGGTGCATATTTGGCCTGCCTGCTGGTACAATGATAGTGGTGAAATTGTGCCATAAAAAATAACAACAACAACAGTAACGTTATAAAAACAACACCCATCGTCATTTTCCAGTTCTCCCAATCATTGACAAGACTCTGTGAATGGCTAAGCTGCCTGTGAGCACCCTCTAAGCAGCCATACACACACGTACACAAGCCCAGTGGGATTGTTGTGTTGATGAATTGTGCGGGTGCTCGCCTTGCCCTGCCATTGACGTTGTTTGGGTGCTGTGTGTAGAGATTTTCATGTATCCGTACTGACTCATGGCAAATGTTGTTTCAGTCACAGATTCAGTGTCTGACGTGTTACTAAAGTGAACGCAACGTGCAAGGAGTTGTAACGCAACAACATTCTTCGCTCGCTCAGTGACCAAAAAAATATACCTACAAGAAGAAAAATATTTTCTTTATAAAAACACAGTTTTTCCTACGGCATAACCGCAACGTTAAGAAAATACAAATCGCAATGAAAAATTAAAGAGACATTAAAAAATCAAAAATATTTATCAAAAGAGAATAAAAATAATATTGATAAATATTTGAAAATTATAAAGTGAAAATAAATTTTGAAAAAAAAAAATTTTCCGAAATTAAAGAACATTAAAATTGTTACTTTCTGAAAATCAAAAACGTAAAGAAATCGTAAAATTTATTTGAACAGAAACTAGTACGAATCTTCAAGATTTTAAAACAAACAGTGTGGGCAATTAAACATTTCAAAATAAAATCAAGTTTAATAATGTTGAAAAACACAACTAAAAATTAGAAAATATTAAAAAATTTCTTTTCACCAAATTTCGATCAACTATTCGAAAACATAACCAAAAGCAACTACAACAACTCTGCCATCATGCATACCCTGTTCACCGATCAAAATTCATTTTCCCGCCACTACGCCCAAACCGCCGGCTATCCTTCCACTGCAGCAGCCGCCGCCACAGCCGGAGCCATGACCACAGCATCGGCTGCCGCTGCAGCCCATTATGCCTATGATCAGTATTCCCGTTATTCCTATCCAGCATCGGCCTACGGCCTGGGGGCTCCTCATCAAAATAAGGAAATCGTTAAACCACCATATTCCTATATTGCCCTAATTGCCATGGCCATACAGAATTCCGCCGACAAAAAGGTGACATTGAACGGCATCTATCAGTACATCATGGAACGATTCCCCTACTATCGGGACAACAAACAAGGTTGGCAAAATTCCATACGCCACAATCTCAGCCTTAACGAGTGCTTTGTGAAAGTGGCCCGCGATGATAAAAAACCTGGCAAGGGTTCGTATTGGACTCTGGATCCCGATTCCTATAATATGTTCGATAATGGTTCATTCCTGAGGAGACGTCGTCGTTTCAAGAAAAAGGATGTGCTGCGCGAAAAGGAAGAAGCCATGAAACGCCAGGCCATGATGAATGAAAAATTAGCTGAAATTAAGCCGCTGAAAATTATGACTGCCAATGGGTTGATTGATGCCAAACATATGGCCCATGCCCATGTGGCTCATCATGCTGCGGCAGCCCATCATGTCGCCGCTGCCCACCATTTTAAAAAGGAACCTTTGAGCATGGATTTGGGCTGTCTCACAGGCAAGGATGGCATGGCTGCCGGTTTGAGTGTCCTTAATTCCTGTCACGACAGTTTGGCTCAAATGAATCATTTAACCGCTGCCGGGGCCGTGGACCATCCTGGTTTTACCGTCGATACCCTGATGAATGTCTACAACCCGCGTCTGCATCACAGCGCCTATTCCTATGCACATCATCCATTGAACGATGAAAATCTCAGTGTGGCTGCCTCGAGTCAAATGCATGCTCATCATGCCGCCGCTGCCCATCATGCCCAGCAACTGAGGCATCATCATCATGTGCCGCATGGTCATCCGCTTACACCCGGCGGTGCTAGTCACAATGGTGTACAATTGGGTGGCATAAGTTCGGGTACCACTACAACCACCTCGTCGGGTAACTCGCCCACAACCATATCCACACCGCATGGACCAGCCCATGGTGGTTGGTACACTCCGGAAACACCACCGTCGGAGCCATTGAATAATTCATCTTCCGTCAATGGTACACCCACCCAGTCGAACAATAACAGTAACGCCAATGGACTGGTCAATCAAAGTGGCAACAATGGCCACCAGCAAAATAATCAACATCACCATTCGACAGTGACCAGTAGTCCCAACTCCTTGGCTGCCGGCCATACATCTTTGGGTTTCCGTGACATGATTTTCGAACAGAATCAAGTGTGTCACATGGACACCGGCAGTCCGGCGGGTAGTATCCAGTCGGCCAGTCCACCCGCTCCTGCCGCCGTCTCCAGTTCAGCTGTTTCCACAAATGCTGCCGCTGCCGCCTTAATCAGTTCACATCATCATCACCATCATCATCATCATGCTCTAAGCGGGAATTTTGGCAACCTAAGTAATCTCAGTAATCTCTCGCACTACCGATCCCATGTGGGTCATTACCAGGACTATGGCATTAAATATGGAGTTTAAGTGAAAGTTGAAATCGCCCAGCTAAACTTCTGCAAGAGAAGTCGGGGATTTTTGATCTGTCGCCACAAGTTTGGGATTTTTTTCAGAGAAATTCTTTAAACTCTTTAGTGTGTGTGTGTGTGTAAGTAACTGCGTTTCAGACGATGGATGCTTAGGAAATCCAAAGCATTTAAATTATTTTGTTTTTGTAAAAAAAGAAAGCATTTTGTAAATATTTGAACGAGAGTTGACAGTTAAGTCTAGTTAAGAAATATTAAGATTAGCTGTGACACTTAAAATTGTTTCAAGGCAGGAGAGAATATATAAAACTAGAGTTAGAAAAACAGGGGGAGATTGTTTGGTATATTTTTGAGGATACATATTTTGGTGATCAGTCAACTATTTGTAACATCGAATCAATGTTCATTTATTTATTCTGAGATTTTTAAATTTAATTACAATATTAGTTTTGCGAAAACCGGCAGACACTATGGCAGTTAAAACATACACAATTAGAAAAACTAAAGTTGAACGACGAGTTTTACTAAAAAAATGTTTAAAACAACAATAACTCAACTTTAATTTAAATTCACCAATGGTTAGCTATTTTTCCTATTTAAAATACATAACTTATTTTAAATACCTGACGTTTTCAAAATTCTGTTTAATTCGAGTTAATATGAAAATCGATTTACACTATGAAATTAACACATGATTCGAAATCCCTTTTTTTGTTTCAATGAAAAATTTTCTCAATTTAATAAATGGTTATATCTAAATTCTTTATTAAGCAATATCTGAAATTTTAAAATTGACATAAACAAAAAATAAGTAAATCAAAGTTCGATTAAATGGAGTTTACATTAAATTGTTCTTATGAACATATTTCACTTAAATTTTTAAATAACTAAATTATAAAATAAAATATTTCTCCATCGTTTCTTCTACAGACACTATTAAGTGTATCCTTAAAAGTTATATAAATATTCTCAACTCTTCTTGTTATCTTCAATCTGCCGAAAAAATAAATATACATGTTATTTTATATATTTATTAAGTATTCTTTGTTTTCATTTTCTCAATGTATTTTTATTATTATTTAATAGTTATTATTAACAAAATTCAATGCTTCAAATGTATCTCATTTTCACAAAATAATCACTTGATCGCAAACTGTACAAAAAAAAAATAAACATTGTAAAAATTACTAGTAACATAAGGAAATAATAATTACTACATTAAAAAATTAATAATAATGCTAAACTCTAAATTAAATTAATATAGTTATCATGTTTTTTAAATAGTTCTTTTTGTAAGATGTAATTTTAATAATAACAATAATTATAGTATAATCATAAATAATGTTATTACAAACAAACAAAAACAACAACACCATAAATAATAATAAAAGAAAACTTTTTCGAAATTATTAAAAACCAAAAAAAAAGAACAATACTTTGAACAAATATATGATATTAGCAAAAACACTACGTGTATGTTAAAAAAAAATTAACCAGTCGTTTTCATTTCATTATGTAGAACATAGTTGTGGGCGGAAAAGTGATATAAAATTCTTTATCAAAAAAAAAAAAAAAAAAAAAAAAACAGTAAAGAAAGTCCGATTTTATGATACCCTACACCACTTTGCTAATTTAGTTGAGCTCCACTTAAAAATTAAAAGTTTTTATGGGAGAATTCAATCATACACGCTATGATTATAATTATAATTTAAAATTCAAATGCTAAAGCATTTGTATCTTTTAAATTCGGACTTGTATTGCCCATTTGGTGCAAAATTAATTTGAAATCAGATAAAGATATATATGGGAACTATATCCAAATCTGAACCGATCTCGATAAAATTTGGCAAAGATATTTTTGAGCTGTATTTGATATATTTCCCTGAATATCGTTGTTACGGAGTGCATATTACGGCTGTAGGTAACAAATACAACAAATCGGATGAACAATATATATTGGAGCTATAGCTATATCTGAACCGATCTTCACCAAATTTGGCATACTACCTTCTAGACTAAATTCGGTCGTATGTGCCAAATTCCATCCCATATTAGACGTTTGGTGCACAGTAAAAGGTAAATCGGACGAAGTTATATATGGGAGCTATATCCAAATCTGAACCGAACTCGATAAAATTTAGCAAAGGTATTTCTCAGCTGCGTTTGATATATTTCCCCAAGTATTGTTGTTACAGAGTGCATATTACGGCCGCGGAGGACAAAAATAACAAATCGGATGAACAATATATATGGGAGCTATAGCTATATCTGAACCGATTTCGATCAAATTTGGCATACTTATTTTCAGGCCTAATTTGGTTGTATGTGCAAAATTTCATACTATTCGGGCTGATATTACACGTTTGGTGCACAATAAAAGGCAAATCGGAAGAAGATATATATGGGAGCTATATCTAAATTTTCACCGATTATCTCCAATTTCAATAGGGTTCGTCCTTGGGCCAAACAAATGTTGTTTGCAAAGTTTCATCTCAATCGGATAATAAATGCGACCTGCATTTTGTTCACAAGAATACATGGACAGACGGACGGACGGACGGATGGACAGACGGACTGACATGCATAAATCAACTCAGAAAGTGATTTTATGCAGATCATCAAAAGGAACTAAGGGTCTATCTCGTTTCCTTTTGCCTGTTACAAACAAATGCACAAAGACATAATACCCTGACCACCTAGTGGTGTAGGGTATAAAAAAACTGCAACAAAGTCAAATGTCATAATTTTTACAATTTTTTTAATTTATTGAATGAAAGCAAAAAATTTTTGAATAAGTTTAGATTTCTTCGAATTGGTCACCTTTGGCACGAATCATGGCCTTCAAACGGCCAATGAAACCGTCACACGCTGCCCGAATGTTGCTCTGCGGTATTTTGGCCCATTCCCGGCGAAGCGCTTACTTGAGGTGATCGACACTGTGGTATTTATTAGTGCCAACCTTGATTTCCAATATACTGCAGACACAATAGTCCAACGGATTGGTATCCGGAGATTTTGGTGGCCATTATGCGCTGGAAATGAAGCGAGGAACCTCATTTTGTAACCATTCTTGGGTGGCGCGTGCTGAGTGCGATGATGCTGAGTCCTGTTGGAAACTCCAAGGTATGCGACCAAGATGTTTGCGTGCCCAAAGCTTTAATACACCCTCCAGAATATTTTCGCTATAATATTCGGTATTAACTCTGATGATACATACGATCATAGAGCGACCATCGGTTTTTATGGCGGCCCACGCCTTCACCATGGCCGGCGTTTGAGTTCTGGTGGCCAACCGAAGGTGCACATTTTCAGCTGACCTCTTTGGCAATTAAACACCAACATTTTGTTTGTTTACAAACTGCTGGAAAATAAATCTTTTCTCATCGGAGAAAACCAAATTCGGCAGTTCACCACTTTTGGTCAAGCGAAGCAACTCTTTAGCTCTTTGAATCTATTTTTTTGTTGCGGTGTAAGATCCTGTACTTTTTGGAAATTCAATGGTTTTATCCCGAGCTTGTTTTTCAATATTTGCCGAATGGAATATTGTGATATGTTCAGCTCACAAGCCATTTTTCGGCCACTGCGACTCGGGTTTCGATCAAGTCGCTTCTTTAGTTTTCTTTCGTCCTTGACGTTGGGCTACGCTACCAGTATCACAGTATGATACGAGACACATTTAAATGCTGGAGTGCTCTAACAATAACCACTTGTGGTTTTCCAGCCAAATATAAAGAAACGCTTGAATTCCATCACGAATAACTTTTTTTCTGGAAAATTTTCACCAAAATGCTTTTGTACGCTTGTAAACAATATAATGAACTGTCACTGGAATAATTTTTTTCAACAACTGTCGGACAAGTGGCTTAGAAATGACAGCAGTCTGAAGTTGGTTGCAGTTTTTTCATCTCATCCTGTAATTCCTTTGGGACTTACAAGGACGGATTTATTTCAAAACAAGTTAAAAAATAGCTGTCGTTTTTATTGACAGATGATAATGTTTTTTTATTTAAATATATTTTGACTTTCGTTATGATAAGGACAACTGTTGACCCTTCATTGTGGTAGTTCCAAAGGAGTTGGTCAATGTTCTCCATTTCGTCTGATACAATTATTACAACGTGCCAGATTTGGACTGTATCGACAATTTCCTTCACATTTTATAATTTTATATGTGATAATTTTTTGGAGAATGTTGAAATATGCGTGAGGTACCACATATAGTGGACCGAAGTATTCCATTTCTCTAATACTGATAAAAAAATATTGATATATGCAAAATTTAAAAAAAAAAAAAACAAGTAAGCAAAGGCTATAGTCGTGGGGGCCGACCATGTGATACCCTACAACACTACAATATGTTCGAGTTCCCCTTATATATAAAACCATTTTGGAAGATTTCGTATTTGACCCGGAGAATTTGGCCAATTTTTACGCACTCCGTAGTATTGTGAAGTATTCAAAACAATTGCATATGAAAATTGTGGTCCATTTTACAGCTAAATATAATACAATGGTCATCCAAAATGCTAGACTTCTTCTCTGTCCTCAACTCTCTTCCGATGCGAAATTCCGTGTCGATTTGTTTTTAATTATGGCCTATAGAACGACTACAAAATTAGAAAAATTTAAAATTGTTTAGCCATTTAAACCTCTAAATGCACATCCTAAAATTTAGTGAGTATCGGACGATAATTGCGACATTCATATAATACCCTCAAAACGTAGTGTTGGGGGGTGTAAAAATTTAGAAAATTTAAAATTCAAAATTGTAAGTCAAATTGAAAAAATCGCATGCGATAAAAAATATGACAAAAATGGAAAAAAATCGACAAAAGATATAACTTTTTTATTGGTATATTATCCCGCGATTTTCTTTGATTTTATCGTTTTCTGGCAAGAGACCATTCCAAATTGATGTGAATTGTGAAAATCGGCCCAGCGGTTCTTGATTTATAAGCAGAATAAATAAGATCAATTCTTTTACATATGTATTGTACCTATTTTGCTATATATCCGATTTCTTGGCTATTAGCATCACTGTAATGGTCAGAAGTGATCTTTTGATGTGTTTGTAATTTGGCTGGGATTAAAAAAAAATCGCGGTTTAGTGGAAATTTTCCTATTTTCTAACATAAAAGTTAGGGTGTATTTTACCCGCTAATTAATGTCCGACGGCCGCTCAAGTTGGTAGGTTTCTGCCCAGTCCCAAACTCTAACTTCATGTAAATTTTTGCGTCGATTGGTTTATAATTGTGACCTATAGAGCAACTGCAAAATCAGGAAAATTTTCTGTTTTTGATCCATTTCAACCCCTAAATATAGACTGATCATCTCCAAAAACAATAAGGTTCTATTCTGACCCTAACCCCACCTCCATTTTTAATTTCGTGACGATCGGTTCTTTATTGCGTCCTGTAGCTTGATTACAAATTAACATGAACAGACGGACGGACGGACATACATAGCTAGATCAACTCAGCTCGGCGAGCTAGGAAGACCCATATATACTTTCCTATGTGGGAAACCAATATTTCGAGGTGTTACATAATTTTTGGCCCAATCAAACTTATAATAGCCCCAACACATAGTGTTGTAGGGTATAAACATCGAACATTTTTTTCCAATTTGATGCGAATGTTGAACTTTGTGGGGGAGGTACCAAAAGAAGTGGGCCGATAGATTCCATATGAGTGACGCTTAGAATGAGTCGGATGTTTGTTCCGTTTTTAGGAGAGTGCGGATATTCCAAATTTTGATCCATTGTGGGGAGAAGTGGACTGATATCTACCATCTTCATAACAGAATATTGAGATGGACGAAAATTGAAGACTATCGGACACTTATTTCAAATTTGATAAGATTTAAATTTATTCAAAATATTTATCCTTTGTGGGGAGGTACTTGATGGTGTAGGCTGATATTGTCCATTTTCGCACCTGGAAATTTAGCACTGATACGAATAATGGGATTTTTAAAGTTTAAACAAACTTGAATGATCTTTTCTTTTTCTACGATAACTACCTACTTCATGGGTACACCATTATCAAGTGCACCAAGCAGACCGACAGACGGATGGACGGACAACCCTAGATCGACTCAAAACGTCCTAAAATGGATTTAGTCCAAAGAGATTTAGGGTCTAAAACCGTTTATGCGATTAAAAGGTAGGAGTGGCCCGATATTGCATACCTCGAAATCGATCTATTTTTTTTTTCTTAAAAACATTACGATATTACGAAGTTTGGGTCGAATCGGATATCCGCTTCGAGAGTACCATTCCTCGGAATCCGTTCATTTTAGGTATATAGTGTGTTCGACAATATGAGTATTATTTAGGGATGTTTTTCGTCCTTTTTTGAAATTCATTTCAACGGAATTACATTAAAAAGCAGCTATATATTCTATCCCATTTTTATAACCTTTATCATAGCATGGAGACCTCGGGTGTTTTAGTCACAATTTTAACCCGAATTGTAAATGTAATCTGTAAATT